GGATTGGCGTCCTGATTCAGAGCCTCTAGATCGCTTGGATTTCTTATCTTCAACTTCGAGTCTATCACACATTTGCACCGCTGGTGGCTAAGACAAGTATCAATGTGTTGTACCTGACAAGGAGCCAGGCATATTGGTTATCAGAAACGGCACTTTCTCAGGCTTTGTGTGCCTGCTTGCGGCCTCTCATTATCTCACAATGGCTAAAGGTGGTGGTTGCAATAATAAAGGAGGCAAGCAAGGCGAGAAAGTTGTTACTCATGGTGACACAACTCCGCCGACCAGCACCGAGCGCTCTCCTCTGGAGAAGAGCTCCCTGGCAATCACTCCATCCATGCCTTCGAAGTTGCCGAAGATGTCAGAATCCCAACCACTAACCATTGGGATAAAAGGGCTTGTTTGTGTAGCGGGTGAGTGCGCCCATAACCCCCCCAGACCAACGTGCCTGTAACCCTTCCCTAGGATCAATCGGGGATCTCCAGTGGACCTCTGACAACCCCCCGCATTAGGAATCCCGGGATGCATACACCAGGATTCGAACCCGAGACCTTCGCTCTGATACCATGTCAGAATCCCAACCACTAACCATTGGGATAAAAGGGCTTGTTTGTGTAGCGGGTGAGTGCGCCCATAACCCCCCAGGCCAACGTGCCTGTAACCCTTCCCTAGGATCAATCGGGGATCTCCAGTGGACCTCTGACAGAAGAAGCTTTCTAATTCATTGGATAATGTCGGGAGGGTGTCTCTGCTCGAACGGCTCTGCACGCTGAAAGTCGGATCAATGGACAATGAAGCAACAGAAGGAAAGGTGGATCAGTTTTCACAACTGGCCTCGCCGTCAGTGAAGGAGAATGCCCCTTAGCCATCCACGGCACCTGAAGGAGGGAGGTGGGGGACTTCGAATGCTACAGTAGAGGAAGAGTGGCAGAATATTGACTCGGATGACAAGTTTGATCATGTTGCTGTTAATCTTTTGTCAGAATGTTGTATTTGTCTAGCCTGCAGTGGGGTACTCTATAGCGAGTACAGCCCAATCTAGGGTTTGCTATTTGTATCTCAACTGCTGCTAGTCCAAACCCTCTTTCTGCTTCTAAACTTTCTCCTACTACTTCTGACATGCTATCAGAGCAGGTCGACCCCCTTGGGTCGATCCTGTGGGTGGGCCCACCACCTAATGCTTCCGCTGCTGTTCTACTTGTCGCGCGCCTCGGTCGCGCGACGCCTCCTTCCTGCCGTACGCTCGGGGCGTGCGGCGGTTTTCTGCCTACCGTGCGCCCCGAGGCGCGCGGCGGTTTCCCACCGTCGAAGTGCCCCCCGTCGCCCGTCGAAGCGCCCCCCCCCCCCCCGTCGCCCGTCGAAGCGCCCCCGTCGCCCGTCGGAGCGCCCCCCGTCGCCCGTCGAAACGTCCCCGTCGCCCGTCGAAGCGCCCCTGGGACCCGCGCGCGGCCCGTACGGGCTGCGCCAGGCCCGCGCGCGGCCCATACAGCTCGCGCGCGGCCCGTACGGGCTGCGCCAGGCCCGCGCGCGGCCCGTACGGGCTGCGCCAGGCCCGCGCGCGGCCCGGGCAGCCCGCGCGCGCCTCGTCCCGCCTGCGGCAGACCCGTGCGCGCGCCTCGTCCGTCCCCCAAGCTTCTGTCGGCGCCCCACCCCCGCTACTGCCCGCGTTCCTGTGTTAGGGTTTGGGGGTGGCGGGTGTGGGGGTGCCGGTTGTGTGCCCCGTCCCCTCCTTCTCCTCCTCCTCCGTCTCCCGCTGCTGCAGCTGCCGCTCAGGGGGGTGGGTGTGTGGGGAGCCGACGGAGTGGTACTAGGGGGGTGAAAGGGGAGTGGAGCTAGGGGCGAAGCAGGGGGTGTGTGTCGAGGGGTGTGGGACTGTTGGGGGAGGTTGAGCGGAGGCCGCCGTCGTGTCGTCTGCAGCGCCTGTATTCCGGGGTTCTGATAGCCACCGGTAGCTCAGAGAGCCGGTTGCACCTGTCGCCCGTGGGTCCGTTGCTCCTGTCGCTGCTGATCAGACGCAGAGCCTGTTACTCCTGTATTCCGGGGCCCTTGCTCCCGGTAGCCACTAGAGCTGCACCAGAGCCGTCTGTTGCCCGTGTGTCTGCAGCTTCAGTCGTCGCCTCCACTCTTCTCTCCTCTCGCCAGCCCTCCTCCTCCTCACTTGCCCTCTGTGACTGCCTCTAGCTTTGCTCATAAAATGTGAACTACTATTATGACTGCTTGTTGTGCTGATTACACCCCACTTTGGCTATGGGGGTGTGTCAGAATGTTGTATTTGTCTAGCCTGCAGTGGGGTACTCTATAGCGAGTACAGCCCAATCTAGGGTTTGCTATTTGTATCTCAACTGCTGCTAGTCCAAACCCTCTTTCTGCTTCTAAACTTTCTCCTACTACTTCTGACATCTTTTGCCTACTCATGTTGGCTTTCGAATAATTCTTCTTGTTCCCTTGGATCTGGAGAGTGAAGTTCCTAAGACCAAGACTTATTACTCGCGCACCTCGACTTCTGGAAGGCCTCGCTCTTTGCTCATGTCCTCAAGTCGACCAAGTTCTAGGCCCTGCAGCCGACATATCTGTCAAAGTAGAAATATAGTTGACTTCAGGTCGTTTTCCAGCATGCCCTTGATGTGAAATTTGTGTGGATGCGGTCGATCGAGCATGACTATGGGAAGGATAAAACGATATTTCTTGACTCGTAGCACCGAGAGAACGTAGCCTACGTGCGAGAGCGTCGTTCGCACCCTGACGCTGTGGGGTTGGTTTTTATGTTGGTTCCAGCGAGGGTCTCTCCTTAGTTGATTCGCAAAATGATCGCTAATGTGCCTTTGCTTAAAAAGGTTAACAAAGGTTTTAGTTTCTAGATAGTGCATGATTCTGTTACAAGGATGGACACAGACAAAGTAAGGGGTTTGATTAAGCATGCCAATGATGACTCCCCATGGTGGCATGCCATCACGAACTCGTCAAACCACAGAAGGAAGCTGCTGGTGCATTGCCTAGTGCTGTCTTATGATTTTTACAAGGGTCAGCATCTGACACAATGCCACAACGCTTACGTTACTGAACAGCAAACCAACATCAGCAAACGGAACCTGACCGTCAGTCCGTGTGGATTTGTCGCTGCTCGTACTCTTGCTTGTCTCTCTCTATGCTAAACTTCTTACCGACAATCTGCTCCGGACCCCCCTATTGGAGCTGACTCGCTGAAAGTCACATTGCTATTGAAGGACATTCTCAAAGATCCAACTATAATTGTCACCTCCACAGGGGGGCCGCATGAGGATTGGGTGTGCGTGGTCGCTGCCTACGAAAAAAGCTCAAGGCTCGAGTTTCGAACATGCAGAGAATTTGACTAACGTGAGGCTGACGGACAGGGTTTTGGCAGTGATTCTTAGTATTGAGGCTGGTTGCCTTGGTAGAATTCAAAATAGCAATGACAATGAACCCTGGAAGAACGTTCCTTGATAAAAACTTGTTTTTTTTTAGTCTGCATCTGCAAGTGAAACGACAAGCACATGCAGAATCCACCTAAGTTGGCAGTTGCTCAGGTTTACAACATTCACAGTTGTTTACGTTTTCACTATTAGTAAAAACATGTTTGTGGTTCAGTTTCCTTAATGGTTCTCTTGAACGCAGAGCGATGTGCTCCAGTCTGTGCTCCTGACACAAGGCAATAGCGGCCTTGTTGTCTATGTACAGAACTGGAGGAGAACGAGGCTGCTCTCCCAAGTCGGTCAGCAGGTAGGTGAGCCAGCGTAACTCCTGTGCAGCCATGGCTCCTGCATAGATCTCAGCCTCACAAGTGGAGCTGAGAACAGAAGACGAGCGGGTAGACTGCCAAGAAACAGAGCCGGAGCCAAGGCTGAAGGTGTAACCCTGTGATGGCCGCTGTAGCCAGGTCGTCAACCCAAGTATCATCTGAGGACGCGTCACAAGGGAGGATCGAGGTCACACACCGATCCTGTGAGAATCGATCTCTTACGAGCCAGATGTATCGCGATCGTCTTCAGGTTCGATAGTTACCGGGGTTAGAAGCGTTTTAGAGAGTTGTTAATGCAATATGCATGATTTGAGTGCGGTGACTGATCGATTTGAAAGTGACATCGCGTTCGGTGACTTGTGTTGGGTCCTAGAGAAAATTAACGAAACAAGGATACTAGATAGAGCGAATTACTGTACACCCCAAACATCGATCTTTCGCAGGGTCGGTGTCGCAATTGTGACGCGTCCTGAGGACGCATTGAAAGTGCAAATATCGCAGGATCGTCTGCATATATCGATCCCCACAATCGAGTGGGCAGATCGATTGGCGAAACGTGGCGATCGCGACGTTGTAACGATCGCGGCTGAAAATTTACAGATTTCCCGCGAACAGTGATCGGTCGCATTCTTACACTGTACAGAAAATTTGGCCAGAGAGCGTACTGTAGCATGGTTACAGCGTAATTAATAGGGTAACCAATCGGCACATCGATCGCGACTGACGATCGATCGTCTACTTTCACCGCGTCCTGAGTGTCCAGTGTCGGCCGATCCGCACTAATCGTCATTTCGAGCCCAGGCTCGACAGTAATCGGTGCCGAGGACTGCAAAACTACAATCGCAGGTCGCCACACCGATATTCAGGTGACAGGTTCGGGAAAGCAGGTTTGAGGTGTTGGTACACCCAGCCTGCAACTACAATTTTGGGGTCGCACGCGACAAACGACTAGATGTCGCATGTCGCGAAAAGGTAACCCATTATATACGATGTCGCATAGTGACTGTGCGACAAGGATCGAAGGCGTTTGATCGTTCCTGTCACACGTGGCTCGATGCTTCACACCGCGCCCTTCAATCTCACGATCGATTTTCCCATGTGCTAAATCAATCGGGGCACCTACAGGTGACAGGATCGAGGACACCTAGGTGATTTCGACGCTACAGTGCTACACCCAGCGCTCAAAACCGATCTTTCAGGCGATCGATCCGCTCCAGGTGACGCGTCCTGACTCCCCACCACTTTTATGTCAATGAGCACAAATTCCTCTCCTCCCCCAGCAGTCTGGATCACTAACAGCCCCCAGACGCTGTTGCGCTCACTGAAGGCGCCTTCTACCCCATCAGTTCCAAGCACAATGCGGAATTGGCGCGGCTCGTGCGGCGTCCCGTTATCATGCCAGGTTTTGAGGCGCGTAAGCACTGCTGTTGGCAAAAGCATCCGCGGTTCCAACGGCGTCGAGGAGGCACGTGAGCCTCGCTTTTACTTCCCACGCGCGGCGATCTCGTTCCGCCTCGTTCTTATCGGCGCGCTACTCTCTTCTCCCCCGCCCCCCGTCTCGCGATCTCACTGCGGCGCTGCTCCGCTCCTCGCGTCGGCGCAAGGAAGCGACGCGTCGTTTCGGCTGATCTCGTCGTTCTTTGTCGCGTGGTCTGAGGGTTACAACCTTGGCGGGAACTCCTCCCTCCCCCCTGCGAAAATAACTCTCCCCCCGCGCGTCCCCGTTGCGCCGCACCTGGAGGACTGCGCGCGAGTGAGCGCGGAGCGGGAGGAGTGGGAGCGGAGAGGCTCGGGGGATGAGGAACCCGCTTGGACCCGCGGAGCTTCAGGGAAGGGGGATCCTTCCGCCCGCCCCGCGGGCTGCTCCGCGGGAGAGGCGCAGGAGCAGGAGGTCCCGCAACCACCTTGGGTAAGGGGGAAAGGACGACCTATTGATGAGGCCGCATCTACGCCAATAGGCTAGGGCGGGCTGTGATGGGCCGGCCATGAAGGGGGGGCCGTGATTGGCCGGACGGGCCGGCCGCGAATTCCCAAGAATCCCCAAAATTTTCCAAGAATTCCCAAGAATTTCAATTCGCAAGGACCCCAAGAATTCCCAAGAACTCCCAAGAATTTCCAAGAATTTCCAAGAATTCCTAAGAACTCCCAAGAATTTCCAAGAATTTCCAAGAATTCCTAAGAACTCCCAAGAACTTCCAAGAATTTCCAAGAATTCCCAAGAATTCCCAAGAACTCCCAAGAATTCCCAAAAACTCCCAAGAACTCCCAAGAATTCCCAAGAATTCCCAAGAATTCTCAAGAACCTGCGAGGGTCCTCTTCGATCCCGACCGGACCAAGGCCCGTGGCGTGGCGTGGCGTGGTGTGGCATGGCGTGGTGTGTGAGCGTGCCTCCATGGAAATGGGAATGTGTGTGAGTCTGATGTGGGTGGCAATGTTGAAGCTGAAGCTTCTACACAGGATGAGAGGCATGGCCGTCAACCGTCTGTCAAGTCAATTCACAGAAAGTTCTGGAAGAGAGGGGAGGGTATTCAAGATCTCGCTTCGCTTCTTCACAATCTCCCAACCTCATTCCCATCCAGATCCGAGGGCAGGATGCAGCCAATCTGCCGCTGACACGTGTCGTGCAACGGGACATCTGGAGGAACCAGTTCCCCGCTGGGGATTGCACGAACAGACGCCTCCTGGTTGTTGACTGGGCGAAATCTGGCGTGCATGGCGTTGGCTCACAGGTGGGCTCTCTTGTGTTTGCTGCGGCGGGGGGGCAGCATGATGTCATGAAGCATGATGGCATGCAGCATGATGACATGCAGCATGATGGCATGCAGCATGATGGCATGCAGCATGATGGCATGCAGCATGATGACATGCAGCATGATGGCATGCAGCATGATGGCATGCAGCATGATGGCATGCAGCATGATGGCATGAAGCATGATGGCATGAAGCATGATGGCATGCAGCATGATGGCATGAAGCATGATGGCATGCAGCATGATGGCATGAAGCATGATGACATGCAGCATGATGGCATGCAGCATGATGGCATGCAGCATGATGGCATGCAGCATGATGGCATGAAGCATGATGGCATGCAGCATGATGGCATGAAGCATGATGGCATGCAGCATGATGGCATGAAGCATGATGGCATGCAGCATGATGGCATGAAGCATGATGGCATGCAGCATGATGTCATGAAGCATGATGGCATGAAGCATGATGACATGCAGCATGATGGCATGCAGCATGATGGCATGCAGCATGATGGCATAAAGCATGATGGCATGCAGCATGATGGCATGAAGCATGATGGCATGCAGCATGATGGCATGAAGCATGATGGCATGCAGCATGATGGCATGAAGCATGATGGCATGCAGCATGATGGCATGAAGCATGATGGCATGAAGCATGATGGCATGCAACAGATGTGCTTGTGCTTGGCTTGCCATATGCCAAGCATGAGCGCATTGCCGATTATGTTCAAGACCAAGCATCTTGCACCATGCAGCATGCACCATGCAGCATGCACCATGCACCATGAACCATGGATCTTGTATCATGCACCATGCAGCATACGCCGTCCGCTGCACTCATACCATACAACCCACACCCCACACTCCACGCCCCATGCCTCACGCCCCACACTCCCACGGCACCAGATCCACTACATGAGTGCGATGCTGAGTCTAGCCATGCGCAACAACCGCACCCTCGTGGATGAACCCGAGGCCTTTGACCGCGCCCGCACCCCCGCCTGTGAAGGTCCGTGCATGGCATGGCATGGTGTGCATGGCATGGTGTGCATGGCATGGTGTGCATGGCATGGTGTGCAGGGTATGGTGTGCAGGGCATGGTGTGCAGGGCATGGTGTGCAGGGCATGGTGTGCAGGGCATGGTGTGCATGGCATGGTGTGCAGGGCATGGTGCATGGTACTGTGTATGCATGGTGCATGGTACTGTGTATGCATGGTGCATGGTATATATTCTCAGGGTAGTTGCTTCTACTAACGGAGCTGGACATGGCATTTGTATGGGGTGTGGTGTGTTGTGGCATTTGCATGGGTTGTGGTATGTTGTGGCATTTGTATGGGTTGTGGTATGTCGTGGCATTTGCATGGGTTGTGGTATGTCGTGGCATTTGTGTGGGGTGTGATGTGTTGTGGCAGTCGCATGCGGTGTGGTATGATATGGCAGCACACAAGCGCACAAGCCCACACCCTAGTTGCCACACACTAAATTCTGCCCTTACTCCCTTGTTTCTCAGTCTGAAGTCGCTTTTCCTGTGAAACCTTCGCTCCAGGACACCACTGCCAGTTCGCCTCTGTACTGCTGAATCACCATTGGCACTTCACCTCCCCCTTCCTTCCTTCTTTCACCTCCCCGCCTCTCCCCCATGATCGTCACTCACCTTTGTCCCACTCAACGCCTCTCCACCTGCCCCCCTGTGCACCGCCACAGCCAATGGCAAGGGACCTCCTTGCCTTACTCATCCCTTGCCCGTGCCTTGTTTGCTCCTTTAGCTCAATCTAATAATGACCCCCACTCTTCTTCTCCCACCTCAACCTAATTTACTTTCTTATCCATCTCAATTGCCTTGCTCCCTCCACCTACCCCCTTCTCTTCCAAATCCCCCTACCATATCCCAACTTCACTGCTTCAGCTGTGGGTCGCAAGAACCAATGGGAGTGCTATTTTTTCCCCCTCGTCTCGCCTGCATGCAAGCAAGTCTACCAACAGGCTCGAGAGAAGAGCCGCGACAGCATCCCCTTTGGGAAGAACAACTATTCTCAAGTGGCTGCGTGGAATGATACGATTGTGTTTATTACTCAACCGAACCCTTCAAAGTTTGCCATGGAAGCTGGCGCTGCAGAGTGCGTTGCGTTTCCCATGTGCAACATTGCTGGTGCCTCTGTTGCCCCTGCTTGAGGTGCACACATGCACACCGCACACACGCACACATGCACGCACGCACGCACACGCGCGCGCGCACACACACTCACCCTGACACACACACACACACACACAGACACACACACACACACACACACACACACTCACACACACATATGCGTGCATGTGTACAGTGGGTTTTGTTGTTGGAAATTCTCTTTTCTCAGTGATTGCCTTACCAGGAGCCAGTCTCACCACGCCTCAGACCATCCCGTGTATCTGCCTCACGCCCATCTGCAACGTGCCAAGCTAACTGCCTCCGCAACCTTCCTGCTCCCTCTCTCTCTCTCTCTCTCTCTCTCTCTCTCTCTCTCTCTCTCTCTCTCTCTCTCTCTCTCTCTCTCTCTCTCTCTCTCTCTCTCTCTCTCTCTCTCTCTCGTGATTTCCCTGCCCCTGCATCAGCCTGTTGGGTGATGCCTTTTATAAGGCGCCCTGCACTGTGCAGATGGATGGCAAACTCACGAATCTCACTGAAAAACAGCGCAAGGTAGGTAACGCAACGATCGGATTGATCCAACAACAACAGCGACAACATCAATATGAACGGAAACTGCTGGCGGTGTACTGTCGCGGATTGACAACTGACTATTTTCACTGACCTAGCCCGATTCCATTGCAAGGTAGTCATGGCAAAGGCAGAGCCTTACGGCATGAACGGAAAGACTGAAAATGCCTTTTTTCTGAAGGCATTCCAAGCAAACCCCCCTCCCCTCTTCACAAAAATCTGCCCAGAGGGGTTGAAAAACGACCGCACTCCTTCCCTGCGGTTTTTTCTTGATGATACTATGCTATTCTGGAACCCCGCTTCCCCCACTCTCTACCTGCCTCCCTCCCTCTCCACTTTGGCTTTCCCCCTCTCAACTCCACCCAAATGGATTGTGTTCTTTGCACTTTTTCCAGCCTCTGTAATCGCACGTTGCTTCTCCGATTTTCTCCCCCTTTCCCCCCCTGCTTTACCTGCCCGCCCCTCCCCCCTCCTCCTCACCCCCCCTCCTGCCCCCAGGGAATGCACTGGTGGTGGGCGCAGGCAGTGCGCAGGCAGTGCGCTTCAATACTCTTTCTCCGAAGCTATTGTTTCGCCCGTTTCACTTGCCAGGTGCACTGGTGGTGCAGGCATAGGCAGACAGAGCACGCCTCATGCTTCACGTGTCCTCATGCCTTCCTCCCTGTCCTCTCCCCTTCCCCCTCCCTTTCAGCGACTGCAGGCGCACTGGTGGCAGCAGTTGTTCTCATTCCCCCCCCTTAAGCCTCTCCCCCTCCAATTCTTCCACCCCTGTGCCTCCACATGCACTGTTGGCAGGCGCAGGCAGTGCGCATTATGAAACACTTGTTCACTTTTCTCACTATGACTTGTCCAATGTCCACTATTCTCCTCTCTCCCTATTTCCCCCTTTCTAACCTGGCCCTCGTCCCCTCAGGTGCACTGGTGGCGGGCGCAGGCAGTTCGCTTCCTGCTGCGCTGGCCCTCTGCCTACCTCTGCCACGTCGCCAACAGGGAGAGGCACCGCGCGTTCGGCATGATCGCAGCCAATCACGTTGTGCAGCTCCTGCAGACCCAGTCAAGAGCCCTCTCCTTTCTCTCTCGCAGCACCACTGCTGCTGCCGCTGCTGCTGCTGCTTCTGCTGCAAGCAACGTCAAAGTGAATGAAAGCGAGTGGCGAGCAAAAACGCGAGCAGCATTGGAGCAATTGGCAGCTGCTGCTGGTGCTGCTGCCACAGGGAGTGGCAGGGACGAAGGCAAGGATACCAGCGGCCTGGTGGGAGTGCAGGAGCCGTACATGCCGCGGCCGATAGTGAGCTTGCATGTAAGGGGTACGGACAAGCATTTCGAGATGGCGCTGAGGTCCCTGGACTGGCACATGTTCCTCATAAATCGCCTCCGCCCTCATGCGCCGGACCTCTGGCACGTGTGGCTCAACACCGAGACACAGGTCAGCTCACTTGAGCAGCAATGTGCATGCCACAACGCAACTCTCACTTCTTAGGTTCATCTCCATCATCCCCCCCCCCCCCCCCATCATTCTCCCCATCATTCTCCCCATCATTCTCCCCATCATTCTACCCATCATTCTCCCCATCATTCTGTCCATCATTCTACCCATCATTCTCCCCATCATTTTACCCATCATTCTACGCATCATTCTACCCATCATTCTCCCCATCATTCTATCCAACATTCTCCCCATCATTCTACCCATCATTCTATCCATCATTCTACCCATCATTCTCCCCATCATTCTACCCATCATTCTACCCATCATTCTACCCATCATTCTCCCCATCATTCTTCCCATCATTCTACCCATCATTCTACCCATCATTCTCCCCATCATTCTTCCCATCATTCTACCCATCATTCTACCCATCATTCTCCCCATCATTCTACCCATCATTCTACCCATCATTCTACCCATCATTCTCCCATCATTCTACCATCATTCTACCCATCATTCTACCCATCATTCTCCCCATCATTCTCCCCATCATTCTACCCATCATTCTGCCCATCATTCTACCCATCATTTTACCCATCATTCTACCCATCATTCTACCCATCATTCTACCCATCATTCTCCCCATCATTCTCCCATCATTCTACCCATCATTCTACCCATCATTCTACCCATCATTCTACCCATCATTCTCCCCATCATTCTACCCATCATTCTCCCCATCATTCTACCCATCATTCTACCCATCATTCTACCCATCATTCTCCCCATCATTCTGCCCATCATTCTCCCCATCATTCTACCCATCATTCTCCCCATCATTCTACCCATCATTCTCCCCATCATTCTACCCATCATTCTCCCCATCATTATACCCATCATTCTCCCCATCATTATACCCATCATTCTCCCCATCATTCTACCCATCATTATACCCATCATTCTCCCCATCATTCTACCCATCATTCTACCCATCATTCTCCCCATCATTCTCCCCATCAATCTCCCCATCATTCTACCCATCATTCTACCCGTCATTCTCCCCATCATTCTACCCATCATTCTACCCATCATTCTCCCCATCATTCTACCCATCATTCTCCCCATCATGCCATCGATCCAGTGCTCCAGCCTCCTATCCTTCGCTAGGCCCAAACAGCAGTCCGCTCTGGTAAGCTCATTTGGTCGCGCTGCAATCTCATCCTACTCTTTCTCTATCAGGCCAACGTAGATCAAGAAGTGGAACACACGTCATGGACATTCTTTTACTCGGCAAACGCACGGCAGGAGGAGAAGACAGAGACGCTGCGGCAGTACGAGCGTGACCAGTCGGTGGCGCTGAGCTTAGCGAGTGTGCTCATCGCTGCACAGTGCGATTATTTCGCCGGCAGCCTTGGATCTAATTGGAGCCGCCTTATGAACGAGCTGCGCTCCACCAATGGCCGTCTGACCGCCGGGTTCGTTGCCAATAATTTCGAGGAGTGGTGATGTGCTATGCTGGTTTGGATTTAATGTGGAAGGGTGCGGTGGGGAGGGTTGGTAGGGAGGTAAGGAATGTGTTACCGTTACCGTGTCAGCAGAATGGTTGTGTTATGAATGAACTTGCAGAGTGCGCAGTAAAACGAATAACGAGAATGGAATTACTAAACGTCGAGTTCGGTTGGGGGAACAGACAACGGAAGGGGAGGCACGTGATAAACCTTTGCCTCCACCCCCCCCCAAAGTGCACCCTTGCTTTAATAAATGAGCTCAGGGCCACCAGTGGGAGGCTGTTTGCGGGTTATGTGTCTGTGAATTTTGAAGAGTGGTAGTGAGAACGCTGTTTGTTTTGTAAGCTGTGCTGTATTGTATGGTAATTGGCTGGTGTACTCTCTTATCGTAATGTTTAAAATTCCATCAATCAAATTGTTAACCTGACAAGCTTGCTTTGTTGTGACGTGAAAAAAGCCGCATACCGGTATGCTGTCATGTGAGTGCCGTAAAACTCGGTGGACCGCAATTTCCTAGTCGTGATGTGACCACCAAGTACAATTCCGATTTCCCAAACCACGCACTGCTGGACTGGCCCAAGTCGGCCGATGATTTGGGACTAGCCAGAACTGTCAGAATCCCAGTCACTAACCACTGGGATAAAAGGGCTTGTTTATATAGCGGGTGAGTGCGCCCATAACCCCCCAGGCCGACGTGCCTGTAACCCTTCCCTAGGATCATCGGGGATCCCCAGTGGACCTCTGACACCCCCCCGCACTGGGATGCCCGAAGTGCACACACCGGGAATCGAACCCGAGACCTTCGCTTTGATACCATGTCAGAATCCCAGTCACTAACCACTGGGATAAAAGGGCTTGTTTATATAGCGGGTGAGTGCGCCCATAACCCCCCAGGCCGACGTGCCTGTAACCCTTCCCTAGGATCATCGGGGATCCCCAGTGGACCTCTGACAAGAACCTCATTACCAGCAGCATTGCACTATCCAGTTCGCACGCATCGTGTTGCAGTTTTTCTTGTTTGTTGTTATTTTTTTTCTCCTACCTTAACGCGCATTTGCACTCGTTTGTCAACATAGTGCAATCCTCTTTCTCGATTTGTTGCACCCGTAACAACTTAGAATCACAAACTTTTTATTTACTTCCGTACACTCTTTCCAATTGCAACTCATATTAGAGGTGATGCTCATACTCAGACAATTCGTCTATCCCATTCAGACGTCCCATGGAACCTGCCAACCGCACAGGCGCACTTATGGCGTGTAAACCTTGAAAATGACGGCAAGGCGACTCGGAAGTAGCCAGCACCATGCGGTCCTTTACAGTCTCCTACTCACGCTCGCCTTCTTACTCGTGAGCGACACTCACTGCATTCAGCTTTTTGGGGTGGTTCGAATGTGTTCAATGTTTCACTGAAGTTTGAGCTCTTTTTTCCCGTTTTCTTACCGCTGGTTTTAGCTTCTTTCGTAAACCTCACGTTGGGAGGGCCTTCGAGTGTAGTGTGGAAGCTTCTAACGTTCTCGGTGCTGAGTAACTCAGTCGAGAGGTTAAGCTTGCAAAAAAACAGTCACAAAATACCGAAAGTGAAGGATAAACAATTCTTTTTCCTTCAGAGAATACGAGTGAATGAATATGGCACAAGATATCTGGGACACGATATTTGGGCCGCCAGTTGTGACCCACTATTGCGTTTGTAACGGACATAATGATATCCGCCCAAATTTCGTTGTTTAAAGATACTGAGGGAAGCAATGGACTTGCGTGTGGCACTGCTGACGTAAGCAGTTCGATGCAACACCATCATGGAAGTAAGTTTATGCGAGCAGCACTTTGGAAAAGTATTAGATTATCAAGATTCTGGTGCTTTTCCTATGGCCACGGTTGCAGCTTTGTGGTTTCCCCGCCTGCGGGGTCCGATTCCTGGGTCCCTCAGCTGTTAAGGCTCATGATTCCAAGGATTAGCAGGCCACCATAGTCGTTCAAACCTCTTAGTCGCTTTTGAGAATTCTCAAAAGCCCCTCAGCTGTTGAGGCTCATGATTCCAAGGATTAACACGCCACCATAGTCTTTCAAACCTCTCAGCCTGAGTTCACCCACCCATCCTCACTCTCTCGCATGCTTGAATTTTCATATCTGCTCGGATCAAACATCCTTTCCCCAAAGTAGAGTATTTTTGAGAATTCTAAAAATACTCTACATCCTTTCCCCAAATCTACGCAGATCTTATTCCCCCCCTGCCAAGCCAAATCCGCTCACTGCTGGTCATTTTGTCGCCAGATTCGTGGGAATCTCGCGTCACGACCTCATTGCTTTGACTCGTTGAATCTGGTCAGACAGGTGACCGGTCGCAAGATCAGGTGGCTCAGGCACCTCCTCCTACTCACTCCCACCCACCCGTGCCCCCTCCTACCCACCCGTGCTCCTTCCCGCCCTCTCATTTGCGAACCCCCAACCGTATCACCCCTTTTCCTTCTCCGCGTTTCCCGTTCTACCCCTCCCCCCTTCTTCTGTTTCCCCTGGCAGCACCTCCTCTCCTCGTTGCGCGCATCACCATCCCCCCCCATGCCGTTCCTGGATTTCACATTCTCCGAGGCACATTGTGGCATCTGGGCAGATGAGTACTCAGCCCTGCACTCCCGCATTCGCGACGCTGCCCGCACCCACGCCAGCACCCTCGCTCAGACTGCTGCTGCCGCTGCTGTAGCTGCTGCTGCAGCGAAAGCACCACCATCGCCACCGTCACCACCACCATCATCACCACCATCACCACCGCCACCATCACCACCACCACCATCACCACCACCACCATCACCACCACCACCACCACCACCACCACCACAACTCCTACCCTCCCCTCTTCCTCCATCCCCTCCTCTTCCGTCCCCTCCTCCACCACCCCCCCCTCCTCCATCCCCCCCTCCTCCGTCCTCCCCTCCTCCATCCCCCCCTTTTCCTCCCCCGCCGCCACCATCCCCGCCACCCCCTGCCGAATACCCCCAGCCGCCCAGGGACCCATCCATTCGCTTTCTCACATACGAATGGCTGGATCAGCCAGGTGGGTTAGGGGACTATCTTACAGGCCTGGCGACCACCTTTGTGTGCGCCATGCTCACACGCCGGGCCTTTATTGTGAAGCACACTCTCCTGCCGCTCGCATTCGAGCCGAACCTCATTGATTGGTCCTTCTCGCCTGAGGTTCCTTTGGAGCCGGCTCGGAGAATGTCAATTGAGGAGGTGATGCAGGGGTGGAATGAGGGAGGAGGAGGAGGAGGAGGAGGAGGAGGAGGGGGAGGAGGAGGAGGAGGAGGAGGAGGAAGGGAGGGGGAGGTGGGGCAAGGGGAGGTAGTGCAGGATGGGGAGGTGGTGGTGCTGGACTTGAAGAATAAGCTGGTTGAGCCAGAGGATTTTTTCGGGCAGCTGGATAAGGCGATGAACGTGCGCGTGTCGTGGAACAGAGGGATGCTTATTCATTGGCTCGTGCAGGTGGGTAGAGTAAAACGGTTCGGCTGAAACAGGAAGGAGCTCTTGTGTGTTTGCTCAAACGTGGAATAGGGTCGAGGAAGGCGAGAGGAAGGGGAGAGGATGACAGGCGTGGAGAGGCATGAGCATAGGAACGCCCCGAGATCCGGTTCGGAGCAATTAAAAAAAATCGAGTCAGCTCTGACTTGGCCCGAGCTGGAAGTCGAAGAATCGCCAGCTTTGCTCGCCCCCAGAGCTAACAAGCCCAGCTGATGACCCGAGTCACCTGCTTGCACTTCTGCTCATACCACATGAGAGGAAGAGGAGTATTGAGAAGATGGGGAGAGAATAACAGAAGCAGTGGATGGAATGAGCTAGAAAAAAGAGGATGTCCTCAGCAGTGGATGAGCTAGAAATAGAGGATGTCTGTGAAGAAGGTATGGGAAGAGATGTACGGGAGAAGTAGAACCACCTGAGAGAGAGCCATGGGGGTGCGAACTTACTCGAATGAGCATGAGCTCAAAGTAACACACGCGCTCTTGTCTTGTCATGCTCATGTGCTGTTCACGTAACCTGGGTGGGTACAGGCGGAGGGCAAGAAGTGGAGTGAGAGGCTCAAGGACATGGGCATGCGGCCTCCCTACAGCTTTGGCTGCATCCTGCGCTATCTCCTCAAGTACGTCCGAACTTGGAGATATCTCGATGCCTTTTCAGGCACCCGAATAAAGGCTGCGTCCTCCGCTTTCTTCTCAAGTACGGCTCCACTTGGAAATATTTTTGATGCGCCTGGAAAGGCTGCATTCTTCTCATTGTTTCAAGCAAGTTCCCGTGGATACATGCATGACATGCATATGAGGTTTTGAGATGTGTATGAAATATCATAAGGGACACCATTCCATGCCCACCACACTTGCTCCATACTCCATATTTCCCCACAATGGGTGCTATTTTGACGCCATGTACCACCTCCGTTTCGAGGTTTTGAGACAATTCATACCCTTTCCGCGCATGCGTGGCCCCTTTCCGGGTCCATGAGCGTCGTTTTATTCCACTGGGCCTGGCACACCCTTCCCTGCCCGGCCCTTGTGTTGGCCCGCAACCAAATGTCACGACAACTTTCCGCACCGAGCAACACTCTACCGATTTGCCTGCCTGTGTTGTGTTTTGAGTCGACTCAAAGCACAACGGTCCACACCAAGCAACACTCTGCCAATTTGCCTGTGTGCTCATTCCAGTCTACTATAACCCCTCTCCCTTGCCCCTCCACCAAACCCCCTCCTCCCCTTCCCCCGCCCTCCTCTCCTTACCCCCTTTACCCCCACCCCCGCTCCCCTCCTCTGCCACCACCAGGCCACGGCCAGAGATTTTGTCCAAAGCTGAAGCCATCTACCACCACCTCTTCTCCCCTCCTGCCTCCTCCCCTCCCCCCGCCCTCCTCCAAGCCCCACATCCCCTGAGCGCTGGCCAATCCGGGTCCCCTGGCTCCTGGCACAATAGGGTGGTGGTTATTGGGATTCACGTGAGAGTGGCGGACAGATTCGTGTGGGCTGGCAAGAGAGGGTTTGGAGATCCCAAGGTTCTGAATGAGACGGAGAAGGCTGAGCTCATGGCATTGGCAGACGACTACATTGCTTGTGCTCAGGTGAATTCGCGGATAGGGAGATGTGGAGTTATGGAGGGGAGACTTTGTGACAAGTTGCAGTTTCAATGTAGTTCAGGCTGGATGGTCGACAGTGGGTTTAGGTATTATGAAAAAAAATGTGTGTCCATGAGAATTTTTGGTCCGTTGGGATATAAGGATGATTGCTTCTGCCCCTTGTCGTCTCACCTCACCCCCTTCCCGCAATAATGCTCTTTACACTATTTTGTTTGTTTCTTCCCCGCAAAATCTGTCCTTAATTTCTCCATGCCCCTGATCTTTTCGTGCCCCTTTGTTTCTCATGCCTCCACTCTTTCCTCCTGGCCTCTGATTTCCGAGCCCCTCCGATGCCCCATTTCCCTTATAGAAACTCGAGGCGTGGTGGATGCCCCCTCCCCTCATAGTCAAATGGCTAGTCGTTAGCAACTCTCAGGACCTCAAGACAGGTTTAAGACTCAAATATCCAGACAAGGTGTGTGCTTTCTCCTTGAGGCGATGCAAGAGTCTGCCCGGCGTCACATGCGCCGCGCTGTGCAGTGCGCATGCATTGAAAGCCTGTGCAGTCGATCCTGCCCGCTGTCACGTTGGCTCTCAATGCTTCTACTGCGCCCATACGCACAGACATACACACACTCATTCACACGACCTCCAACCTCCCCTCCCTCCACCCCCGTTCCACAGACGCACAGCCTGTTTTGCACCCCACTCTCAATTCCCTCAGCCTCTCCTCTCTCACACACTGGTGCCTCCCTCACCACACCAATATCATCATCCCTACTTGGTTGCATTGCATCACAGGTGGTGATTTCAGACATCCTCCCAATGCATATCAACAACCTCATGCTCAATGATGCTGCGCCACCATCTCCGCCCCCTTCACCAGAAGCTGCTCGCGATAAAGAAGCAGAAATATATACCGGCGTTCTTATAGATTGGCTCCTTTTGGCATCTTCAGATATGTTTGTTATATCCCAGTCTGGATATTCCAACACAGGAACTTTCTTCTCGTATCGTCTGGGCGCTGTCCATTCCTCTAAAATCTGCCGCCCTGAGCAACCCATAAACCTACAGACTATAACACACCTTACAAGTGGAATATGATGGCTTGTTTTGTATGGTGCTCCTCCGTTTGTTCCATGATTATATGATATACCAATGGCTCTGCATTTTTTGCTCATCATCCTAGAAACATGATGATGCGACACAGTAACAGCACCATTGGTTTGTTCCGCTTTGCTGGTTGGAATCCTACAATGCTAACTCCACTCCTTAGCCTATTGGATGTAGAAAATCCCGTGGTACTACAGCATCAAATGCAGTAGAGGATGCTTCAAATTCAGCAGTGGGAGCTTCGGGTTATACTCGTGCTGGTCTGTAGAATGTTTAGTACAATCAGTCATTTGTGTATACATGACTTATTGTAACTGAATGTTTTTCCTACAACCATCATGTAGTTTTGAGGTGCTGCCAAAAGTAGCCCCACAATCGTCACCCTGATCGTATTTTGTTTCCAGAAAGTTGGCAAACTCCCCTCCCCAGTCAATCAGTCAAATTTCCGACCGGAATGAAATAGTGGCGGTATTTTGACTGACAAATTTCTGCATACTAGCTCAGATACGGAAGCGGTGCAAGTACTGTATGCACCGTCCGCAATTGCAAAGCCGTGTGTCATGGTGGTGGGACCAACATCCTGTGAAAACTAAACCTGGTTCTAAATTCCGGGAAACTAGCCTCGTGGCTCGTGACTCACATTCGTGGTCAGTCACTCCCATCCGATTCCCAAGCCAAAGCCCTTTCGGTGGACTTGCCCTTATCAAAGAACGATAAGCACAGTACACAGAACACAGTCAGCCTCAACCACCTTCAACATGTGGTTAGGGATTGCCCTCCAATCGAGACTCCCCCCCTAGACCCAGTTCAGCTTTATGGGGGAGCACTTGACTTCACGCCACCTTTCAAGGTTCGGCATCGCCGAATCTGGTGAACGGCTCGGATGTATCGGTTCGTTTTTTACCGTTTTTGAGAATTTTCGTGCATGTCTGCCAATTTGTACATCAACATTTTCCAAGGGTGACCACCACTCCCCTCCCAAGTGGGAGTCCTGGTGAACGGGGTCACTGAAACAAGGATTAAATGTACTGTTCAGTACTGAAACCCGTTATACTGTATTACTCTAAACAGCCCGGTTTACGTCCTAAAAAGCTATCTTAGTCACCTACCTCTCACTGCTGATAGCAGTCACCTCAAGATGCACCCCTACTCCTTTCCGCTATGAAGCTCTGTGACGTTTTTGGGGACATGATGGGCTACTACATACGCCAGAATCACCGCCAAACCAAATCCCTCCTATAATATTCCATCACACGTGATGCTCTGCTGCCCTGCCGAGCAAATCGATGATTCGAACTTACCAAGTCTGGTTGGGTGAACTGGACTCCCTGGCCTGAAAACGTTGTTGGTCCTTCCGTTATTTGCGCGCTAGGTTTCTACCTACGACTGTCCCGCCGATCCGTTGCTATTTCGGTTTCCCTAAACTGGTTTCAATGGTTCTTTACGGGAGAAAACAATGAGCGGACTCCCATCGTAATTCCTCGTTTTACTTCGCGACATCTAAGATTATCAAGTTACTTTCCCTCCTCTCCTCACGCGATCCGCCATGGGATCGAGGATGAACCTCCTGACATCGCGCTTCTCTGACGGGATAAACCAGCGTTTCATCCGGGAGAAGCTAAAGCAGTTAAAGCTACCCACTAGCAACATCGGCAAGGGTCTCGTGGGAGTGGTGTTGCTCGCGCTTCTCATGCTTCTCGGCTCCTTCTCACAATCCACGTCACAAGCGCCCAGTGTCCTCCTGCCGTGGGGCCAGGAAAGGTGAAAATTCTCGCCGTTGGGCCATGTCCGCTCCCGCTTCCACCGCGCGCGTCTGCGCGTCTCCTCCATTACTGCTTATTCTCGCTGCGTGTCGTCGCATCATTGGCATTTTACCACAGCGTTGCACCTTCTCGCGCCAGTTTTAAACATCCATGTCTTTCCCGGTCCTGCGACCGAGTCCTAGCGTGTGCCCTCTTTCCGCTTCCAGAATTGAACAATTAACTTCACGCGTAACTGGGCGATAGCTTGACATCTTCTCGCAAATCCCTGACTGCTTTCCTGCATTAGTCGTCACTGCCCAACCTCATAGCCTCGTCGGCGCCCGATCGCGTCGCTCCTTCTCCGGCACTTCACATGCCGGGAGCTTTGGTTTCCGCGCCCAATCTCATACGCGCCCATTCCCATGCGCACACCAACCAATCCCCGCCTCCCCCCAGGTTGGTGCGCGACGCGGCGGAGCTACAGCTGTGCCGCATAGAGCTGGAGCGCGTGCGGCGGGATCCGGCCGCCTCGGCGGACGCGAGCAAGTGCCAGGAGCGGCTCGCGCGATTCATGGGGACGCCCACCGTCACCCACGCCAACGGCACCATCGCGCCCGCGGGTGAGCGGTGACGGCAGGGGGTGCGCGGAGGGGTTGGGGGCAGGGGGTGAGTTTTGAGGGGCCTCAAAAGTCGATTCATGGGGACGCCCACTGTCACCCACGCCAACGGCACCATCGCGCCCGCGGGTGAGCGGTGACGGCAGGGGTTGCGTGGAAGAGGTGAGGGGAGGGAGGCGATGGGAATGATTGAGGGGAGGGGGTGAGAGGAGGGGTCATGGGAGGGAGGGACCAAGTAGCTGTCTCGTTTTTTCTCAGTTCCACTTGTTCTCGTGCTCACTTGTTCTCCTGCTAACTTGCTTTCGTGCTCTGGCCCTGTGGTTTAGCGGTCTTTTGCTGCCAAGTCGTGGCTGTACCACCTCCACTGCTCTCTGTCTCCTTGCCATGCGGCCGTGCCCATCCCTCCAACCCGTTACTCGTGTGTCAACCCACCACTACTTTGTTTCCTCCCATCTATACTCTTTCCCTAACACTCTCTTCTTTCCCTCTCAAACCCCCTTGCGCTCTCCCTCTCTCTCCCCCTTCCCTCTTTCTCTCCCCTCTTCTCCACCCCCTTTCCCCCCCCTCCACACCACGGCTCGCCTGTACTCACTCTCTCCTGTACCTGCGTGCCCCTCCCCCCTTCTCCGACCCCCACTCCCCTCCCCTCCCTTCCCCGTCCTCTCCGTCCGCCCCATTCGCACTGTGGGTTTGGGGAGTGGGGTCTGGGTTGTGGGTTGTGGGGTGGGGTGTGGGTTGTGGAATGTGGTGTGCGGTGTGGGGTGTGGGGTGCGGGTGTGCCGTGCAGCGACGCCATTCGAGGACGTGGAGAGCATGAGCGCTGCGGAGCTGAAGAAGGAGGTCATCGAGCTCAGGGTGAGTGGCTGTGGCTGTGGGCGTGGGCGTGGGAGTGGGAGAGTGGGAGTGGGAGAGTGGGAGTGAGAGTGAGAGTGGGCGTGGGATTGGGTTGGGAGTGGGCGTGGAATTGGGAGAGAGAGTGAGCGCACCTGATCCTGTTGTTCGGTTGGAGCTGCCTCAAAAGGAAGTCATCCCGCTGTGTCTGAATGAAGCGCCGAATTTAATCTGTCTCATTCACGCAGACTTTTCGGGCGCCCTCAAAAGAGCATGAGTGCTCTTGCACTGAGGAAGGAAGCCCTAACGCGCGTTGACCGGTGGTGAGGTGAGAAAAGAATCCATAACGAGCGAGCATTGATACGCACAGCTAGGGCCGTTCGGCAGGAACACACTCACGTTAACACGTTCCACTCACATGCATCGCCTCCCCGGCGGCGACCCGCACTCTCACCCTCTTTCTTCTCCCCAACCTCCTCCCCCTCTCCCTGCACAGATAGAGGTGGCGATCCTGCGGCAGGAGAAGGTGCGGCTGGAGAGTGCAGAGAAGGAGCGTGCTGTGTGGGACAACGCCCTCGTCCCCAAGTCGGTGAGCCACCCGCACATCCGCGCGCGCGCGCGCGCACACACGCACACACGCCGCTCCTACGTATTACCTACCAACAAACAAGCCAACCAACCAAACAACCAACCCACCCCTTTGCTAGCCTAGCCCCGTGCCCCTGGCAACCCCGTGCCCCTGGCATGCTTCTCTCATTAAGTGCTCATTGTTACATTATCGCACATCCACACACTCTTTCTCTCCCTTTCTTCCTCTCGCTTGTTCCCCTTCCTACGCTGTGTCCTTGTCACCTCTCGTTCCCCGTGCCACAACCATCACAGGCAGTGGAGGGAGCGCGCATGGTGGTATCAGCCCACACATGCCCCGTCGTCCCAGAAGCACTCGTCAACGGCACACACGTCAACTCCGTCTCAGGCCTGGCTGAAATCGTCTCTGCAGCAACGGCGCAGGCAATCAACGCGTCTGTCGCTGCGGCTGCGGCTGCTGGGAATGGCACGGACGGCAACGGCACGCTGGGCGGGGCTGCTGTGTTCCCCGTGGTGACGAATGATGCTATGCTGGCGGCTGCTGCGGGGGGTGTGACGGAGGGGGAGAATACCACCCTGGCCAGATGGAATGTGAGTCATGGGGGTGGAGGAGACTTATGTGTGTGTGTGTGCGTGCGCGCGCACACACGTGTGCGTGTGGGTGATTGCGTGACTGTATGTGCGCGTGCATGCGTGCGTGCGTGCATGCAATGCACGTTTCATGTTGCCAATGCTGAATATCACATGGGCACTTGCTCACTCTCTCACTCACTCACTCGCTCACTCACTCACTCACTTGCTCGCTCGCTCACTCACTCACTCACTCGCTCACTCACTCACTCACTCACTCACTCACTCGCTCGCTCAGTCAGTCACTCACTCACTCACTCACGTGCCCGACACCACCATCAGGGCTACGAGTGCAGGGCGAGCATAGCGGACATGAAGAGGTACCTCAACTACACGGGCTGCGCCATATCGTTGCTGGTGGTGATCTGATGCTGGTCAAACATGCTCTCACTCACTCACTCACTCACTCACTCACGTGCCACACAACCACCACCACCAGGGCTACGAGTGCAGGGCGAGCGTGGCGGACATGAAGCGGTACCTCAACTACACGGTGCGGGGGGACTGTCCGCACGACTGGTTCTTCGTGCAGCGCCTCATGTTCATCAAGGACTGCTTCTCGCTGCCGCGCCGCCGCTGCTTCAACCATCACGCCGCGTGCCGTGCAGGAGGTGCGTGCGTGCGTGCGTGCGTGCTGGTCTGTCTCTGGTTCTGGCATGTCTTCCATTCCATCGTAAGTTTCGTTTGTGTTTCCTGCTGTTTGTGAAATGCGCTGCAATGCAATCTCTGTTGCCATGTATTTTCCCTCTCTCTTCTCTCTTCTCTCTTCTCTCTTCTCTCTTCTCTCTTCTCTCTTCTCTCTTCTCTCTTCTCTCTTCTCTCTCCTCTCTCCTCTCCCTCTCTCCTCTCTCCTCTCTCCT